GGAAAAGATTGCAAACAAGCAGGCAGACGAGTTTGATTTTTTTGGTTCACTATAATTAGATTACACAACAGAGAGGTTTTCATACGCAGAACTGAAATGACTTCCAGGAGCATGACACTTCATCAAATGTTGTAGGAGGTCAGGATTTCAGCAAAGCAATGAGCCATTCTATCTGTGGTGGACAGACAGCAAGAAAAATACCCAAATGGGCAGATTGTCCTGTATATGTGAATGGCATCAACAGCTCTGGCTGGAAAAATGGCTGGTGTCTGTATTTGCAATCAAACAATTCATATTTTTCATGTCTGTTAAGAGGAGCAGGGAAAGCTCATGTGTAGGCAAGGAAGGTTGTCTGACTTGTCATTCAGTGCATGATCTTATAGAAGCATCTGTAATTATTACTACTACTAATAAAAATGTTCCAAACAGTGCACTTTAAAGGCTTCTGAAAATATTCCTTATTCTTGGAGTTTGGAGATATTTTAAGCTGCCACAAGACATCAAAGTGTCACTTTCAAAATCACTTTCACAAAAGGGTGGAGGGGTGGGGGAAGAATGGGTGCTTTGGTTAATGACAATTTCTCGGTCTGTCAGGTCTGGGAAATTATCCATTTCATTTTTTAAATTTTTTTTTTGGTCCAGGTGGGAGTGATTCCTGCTCTTCTTTAAGGAAAAAAGAAATACTGCCAAAGGAACTGTTTTGAAATAAACCAAAAGTCCTGCTATATAAAGAACTCTACTTGAGAGAAAAATCAAAATGAAATGAACTTGGGAATTTGCCACAGTGTGATTCTCATCGCCAACAAATACTGGGAGGTTCAAAAATTAGGCAAAGCACTGTGCCTTTATTTATAAAATCATGGGCACTCAGAAGAGCTACTCCAGACTTCCGATGAGGATTCATGGCAAACTAGACATCCCTGAAGGAGGGGGGATGACACTGAGGCGAAGATGGCGGACAGACAACGTTTTCTGGCTGGCAAAGTCTCTCCAGAAAAAGGAGAGATCATGAGATTGCCCACATATATTCCAGACAGCTGCTTCCTGTGAGTAGACTGCAGGAACGGATGTTTTTGAGGTCGACCTGTGAGTCGAGCAGCTGGGAGTCAAGGAATTCCAACTAAGCTCACAGCCATAATGTAACCTATATGGACATAAAATTTGCCAAGCCTCATTTCTTAATCTCTTTCAGAAATAGCTTCTTAACTATTAGGAACCTTTGCAACAGCAAGTTTTAGAATACTGGGTGAGTTTCCTTCAATCCTTAGCTAAAGAAGTTTTAAATGCAAATTTAATGACTTAAAAAAAAATTTTTTTTTTTGAAATAAACAGCAAGAGGGAGATTATAACACCGATTTTGGAAAATTACAAATGGACTAAGGGTCCAGATGGATTTGAAATTAATTATAGGAATCCTTCCTGTGGGAAAATGCTTTTGTTTTGAATTCTTAAAAAAAAATAACATGATAGGATGGGATTTTGAAGGTTGGAACACTAGAGGAAACCGGAAGGAACTAAAGATTATAATTAAAGGAGG